GGGGTACTGCACCCCTCACACCACCCGTCACTGGTATCAGGTACCCGGGGCTGAGCACAGCAGGGCTGGGGACTGACCAGTGCAAGCGGGGGCTCTGGGCTGGGTCCCCAGAGGCTCTGTATGATCCCATAGCACCCCTGTCTCCAGTCCTGCTCGCCCCACCCGGTGGGTGCACAACAGCTCCTCGTGCAGGAACAGGGCCCATGGTGCTGCAGCGCCCATGGGGGCTGCCCTGGCTGATGGGAGATGGGTGACACCAACATTGGGATGTCCCTGAGCAAACAGGTGGTCACAGCCAGGCACCCTGCAGCGTCCCACAGCCACAGCCATGGTCCCAGCACACACGGCAGCCCTGGCATGGAGAGGACTCCTGGTGCTGCAGTAGAAGGGCCCCATCCTAAGACCCCACGGTGAGAGAGAGCCCAGGAACAGGAGCAGGGTAGGACAGTGTCATGGCAGGGCCTTCCACAGAGGCACCGCAGAGGGGGACAGGTCCCCAGTGCAGCCCCACTCCCAGTACTGTGGCATCACCATGTTGGCAGGCTTGGCAATGCCAGCTCCCATTTCCCTCTCTCCCCTCCGGGAAAATCATTCAGATTTGGCTAAAATCACAACATTTAGAAGCTGGCTCAGCTGTTGCCTCCAGGGATTGTCCCTGTCCCTCGTCCAGGGCTGGCACCCAGAACAGCTCCCTCCTTACTAGCAGGCACCCAGCAGGGAGTGTGCAGGCACTGCCAGCATCCCAGCAGTCCCAACTACCTCCAGCACCTCCAAGGCACGACCACAGTGCCAGGGAGGGCCAGGGCAGGCTGTGTGGCTGTTCAGACAGAGCCCCTCACCTCCCAGCCCCCTTGGCTGATGCTCACCCTTCCACGGGACCCAAGGGCCCACCCAGGGCCTGGGTTGCTGCCACCAGCCCAAGCACACGAGGGGTGGGACATAGCCACAATGGCACCCAGAAGCTTCACACAGCTCCCAGAGACATCACGGACACAGTGCTGAGCGTGTTGCCATTTTATTTCCTGCCCCATCCCAGCGAGTTCACATTGCCCAGGCCATGTCCCAGCCAGTGGTATCCCAGTGGCACAGCGAACCCTTCCCCTCGGAGAGCTTGGCCCCAACTCTGGAGAGGGAAGAGTTCATTTCTGCAGCCCCAGACCCACTATGGCAGCACCACGATCTTCTTCTCCAGCACTTGCGGGGGGAAGAGAACCCTCCTCATCACTGCATCCAGCTCCTCCAGCGCCAGCTGCGCGTGCAGCACCGTTGCACCATCAGACTCGGCCGCCACCACGTGCTTGAGCAGCCGATAAAGGTCCCGCAGGACGTCCTGCAGCACCTGGGGGCAGGAGGAACGTCAGCACCCACCAGGGTCTTGCCCGCTCCCGCAACAAACCTGAACCCTAGCGTGCCCTGGCAGGCACGATGCTGCCCCTTCCGCCGATGCTGCCAGTGCCGCGACGCGGCGGCACCACCACCACACCCCCCCTGCCTCGGGCAGTGACTCAGTTTCTCCACATGCCAGCAGCACAGTCCAGCAGCGGCACATTGTGGTGTCCCTCCAGCATGGGGACATGATGGGAAGCTGAGATTCCAGCTATGGTTATTCCCATGGGGAATCAGCCGTTTCCTCCATGGGAGCTGAGTCTCAACATGTTCGCTGATGGGAAGAGGAGAGGGAGGCCACGGCCCGCGGAAAAACTGGGCATTACCAAGTCAAATCAGTGATGAACAACTCCCACGGCTCCCAGGAACTGGCACTACCCATGGCATGGCATGGATCTGCCCCATGGCATGGCCAAGCAGCTCAGAGGAATGCCCCCACAAAGTCCTATCTATCGCAGGAAGGACCCGGTGCTGAGATTCCCTTCAATGGGAGAGGCACAAGCTGGAGGCCCCAGTCCCATGAGACTTTCCCTGGAAGCTGCCTGGGAATGAGCCCTGCAGCCCTCATGGGGCCTGGGGATACCGAGGAGCCTGGC